TTGTTATGGTAAAGTACTCTTTGATCAGAGCAGGGCGTAGAAGAGTTTTAAAAATGGGGTGGCCCTAATTTATGAGTTTTGGGAACCTGGTGGTCGGACCAGGGGCGAGACCGGGGTCTCCTCAATGATAGGGATCCATTATGTTATGAGTAAGGTGTGGTCATCGAATCCGAAAGAATGGGATAAGTGAGGTACGCATGGGTTGCGGGAAATGACTTCTGAGTTGAGTGCTTCGTTGGGGCGAGTGGTTCCAACTCTGGGTCAGACCAAACTCTCGAGTTTGAGTTTAGCTCTGGTGGTGCGTTGGATAGGCGAGATGAGATTCTGGATTCTGAGGTGGGTTCCATGTTGAGGAGTATTTTTTGTCATCTGATGTCTTAGACCTGTGTGGGTCAGTACTTGGGTACGGGAGGTAGCACAAGTCGCATGGAACGATGAGTAACAAATGACAGAGGTCGGGGTTGAGTCGATCTCCAGTTGGGAAGGAAGCATTCGCTTAGGGTTAAGCGAACTTCGTTATTTGTGTGTCACATTGGGCCGATGTGGTTATAGTAAGAAGGAAACCATGGAGACGGTTGGGATAATGCAACGGATGATCCTGGAGGTTCAACTATTGGGTCGAGATCAGATCTGGTACTCAGTGTTAAAAAGGGATACGAGGGATGCAACTGAGGCTTATGATTTTAGATGTCTGAGGACTTCTGAGCGAGCATGATTCTCTTGCGTCAGAGAACAGGATGTTGAAAGTTTATTGTTCGGATGGATTCTGATACTAGTTCAGTGGATGCGCCCTGGTGGGATGTAAACCCTTTCGTTCCTTGGGGCGTGATTCAGACTGTTTTGGTACGTTGGTATGAGCGATCGGTAGCCGATTGTCGGATGTTGTTTTGTGAGAATCAGAGGAGCTGTGAGTTATTAGGGTTTGATGTCCGAAGAGCGAATATCATGGTGATAGCGTGAGTGGGCGGTCTGGCGGCAGGCTAGGCCACTAGAGTTTCCCGGTTCTGGGAAGGTCAGAAAGGGGTATCTTAGCGACATAGGGGACAGTTTTGTTCCAAATTTGGAGTTCCTGGTCGGATCCAGGTATTCATGGAGAAGGATATCGTTTTGGTGTGAGAACCTCTCAGTGGTGCTTTTTGAGTGTTTGGTTTCTAACTATGTTGGTGAGGAGCGATTTCGAGGGCGAAATCTATTTCAAGTGGGGGAGAATTGTAACATCCGGATTTCCAGGCATGACAATTTGAGTATTTCTTTCTGAGTTATGAGGAGGGACTCGACAAGTTGACGACTAGACTCGTCGAGTAGGATCGCGATTTGCTGACTGGATAAATGAAGGGACTCGACGAGTCCGTGCTGTGGACAGAAACCCTAAATCTTTGGGGCCTGTGCCCTATTTAAGGGTCCTTATAGCCCTCATTTGCGGCTACCAGACCAGAGAGAGAAACCCGAGAGAGCTTGAACGAATTGTGTGAGAGAGAAAGCCATTTCAACCCTTTTTGGTGTTGTTTTGCAAAGAAGAAGGTGTTTCCAGCTAGAGGAGGTCAAGAGGGTTGCTAATCCGTGGTTTCCAAGCTTGGATATGTAGTGTTGAGGTAGCAAATCGATCCTTTCTCTGTTTGGTTTAAGATCCTTGAATTTTAGGGTTTTCTACACCCTTTATTGGCTTGAAATGTTGAGTATGTTGTCCCTTTGAGTGTTAGACTCTGGATCTGGACCTCTAGAGGTCCAGAGGGCCTTATCCATTCTGCTTTATGTTGGTTCATGGAGGGAATATGACTATGTTGCCATTTTAGAAGCCATTTCACCAAGGAAAGCCTTGTGTGCGTTGCATGAATGTCAAGACTGAACCTTTACGTGATTATCGTGTTTGGGAAGGTCAGATCTATAGGTTAGAGAAGCAGATCTGACCTCAGAAGGTCAATGGAGTGTTGCCATGGACGCTACTCACCGAGTTCATAAGTGGACTCGATGAGTCGAGTCGGGGTTGCCCCGCGATTCGTGACAGGTGTAACCCGTCGAGTGAAGGGATGACTCGACGTGCCGAGTGAGGCTAGAAGGATTCTGGGGACCCGCATGGACTCGCCGAGTCGCCCATGTGCACTCGACGAGTCGGGTCAAAGTTTGACCGTTGACTTCAGTTGACCTTAGGGTTTTGGTCAAGCTGACTCAAGAGAGTTCTGGGAGGGGTAGAATGGTCTTCTACCCATCATTAGAGATGAGATGATGAGAGAGTATTGATTGAGGATGTTATTCTGTTGGTAGGAGGAGGCAAGATCGGGTATCCGAGCACGGGAGATTATTCGATATCGTACGAGGTGAGTCTTCTCACTATACTGTACCTAGAGTGGTACCTATGTGTGACCGGAAGGTCTTATATGCTATGAGATGTATGTGATGTATGTTGTTATGTGATATGTATGTGCTATGTATGTTATGAATGATAAGGACCGGAAGGTCATCATGATATGGACCGGAAGGTCGGGATGATATGGACCGGAAGGTCATTACGGGTAGGGTCGGAAGGTCTACCAGAGTTGTGGGACGGAAGTCCTCTGAGACACAGAGACCGGAAGGTCTTATAGCCTTGAGTGGCGTATGTGCGTATTGGTATTTTGGGGAACTCACTAAGCATTTATGCTTACCGTTTATGTGATATGTGTTTCAGGTACCAGTGAGGATCGCGGGAAGGCTCCGACATGATTTGTACACACTGAAGGAGTTTGATGTATTGAGATTCTGGGATATGTTTTGTTATGATAACATTGGATACATTATGTTTCGATATTACCTTATGAATAAAAGTATGTTTTAAAATTGAAAATTTGTCGTGGAAATTTACGTTGTTACACAAGGACATTTCTCCCTCAAAAACGTAGTTTAAAAAAAATCCCGAGAAAACCAATTCGTTCCACTGTTATTAATAACAGAAGAAAAAAGAAAAAAAAACGCAACCCTGAAAACTTCCAAAACCGGGAATATCACTAATCTCACAACGCAACACTATAAAAGTGACTTGTCTATTTACTATTTTCTTCATCTTCCATACCCTCAAGAGGAAATTGTATCTACTCTCATACCCTAGAATCTAGGGGTGTGCAAAAAACCGCACAAACCGCACAAACCGCCCGCACCGCACCAAACGCACCGCATAATGCGATTTAGAATTTCGTGGTGCGGTTTGCGGTTCGTCATTTTATTAAACCGCACTATGCGGTGTGGTTTGCGGTTTGTATTTATAAAATCGCGGTTCAAACCGCACCGCACCGCATGTTATATAGATATATATATATATATATATATATAATATATATATATATATATAATATAATACTTTTTTTCTTTACTTTGTTATAATTTCAAATCACGATTTAAAAACGATGTATTTAAATATATTTCTTACAATAATCAAATATCTATAACGTAACATTAAATCACTATTAGATCAAGATCTCATAGTTTACAAGAATATAGCAACTATAACGGCAATATAAAGCAATAACAGTGACACCTACAAAACTATAGTAGCATGAATCACAATTTATTAAAAACGATTTAACTTGAAAATTGTATTTGTTTTTATAAAATAAAAGCAATCAATTTTTTTTTAACCGGGTCAGTTTTTTGGTTTTTTGATAGATTTAATGTTGAACAACTCATCAAACCGCACAAACCGCAACCAAACCGCATAAACCGTCCGCATCAAACCGCACCGCATAACGCGGTTTTGAACATTTGTGGTGCAGTTTGCGGTTTCTAAAATATTCAAACCGCATATGCGGTGCGGTTTGCGGTTTTGACTCTAAACCGCACCAAACTGCACCGCGCACACCCCTACTAGAATCTATGAAGTTTTTGAATTAAATGAAGTCGAACGAAGCCAACTAACTTGTAGACACTACTTTGTCATTATCTATCAATTTCATCACTATAATTTAAATACTCAAGCAATTAAGTTTTAATTGGTTATCTACCAACCAAAAGAAATCCCATAAGACCTCTTCATATCGTTTAAGAAACGTTTAGATCCCCTCTTACAACGCATCATTTTACGACAAACAAGTCCATCAATAATCCATTGGAAACCCCATTTTAAGGATGTTGTTTTGACAAAAAAAAAAAAAAAACAAAAACAAAAAACAAAAAAAAACAAAAAACAATATATCCGTGGGGAGAAACCCATTTAGGTTATTGGAGACATGAGAAAGTTATTTTTCAACGACCGTTTCTTATCGAATTTTCCGGTGTAAAACCTATTGAAACTAGTGTCGACAGTTTATCGACAAATCGTAATTTTTAGCACTTTTCGACTGAAACTTGGTTCAAGGTAAGTGTCATGTCTCGAAGGGAATCTTAGCAAAATTGAATTTAGGTTACGGGTAGACATGGAAAAATGGGATGATGAAAGGTCACATTTTATGTTGAAAACATGGTGTTCCGAAGCTAATAGGGAAGAGGGAAGAGGAACCATCAAAACCTGAGTGAATTAAATGGTAAGGGTCTTAGTACGAAGGAGGACACAACATGGTTGAAGAAAAATATAAATGTCTTCTATGATTTGAGTACGATGAAATTGTTTTCTTACCGACTTAATATGGAAACATAACATAATGCATAATGTCGTTTTCCTATTTTCTTAAACATTATGACTTAAGTGATTCAAAACTTCATAATGTATTCAACATTGCTATAACACGGTTACCTGTTAGTGAAAATTTTCAATTTTCAAAGCAACCTCACAAAAATTAAAGCCACCAATGTACCGTCTGCCTTCTTGCATCATTTTAAAATTTATGGTATATTTTATTTTTTCTCTTTTAGAATTGCAACGTAGGAGAAAATTTTAAGGTTTATTTTTTCTTTCATTAAAATTCATGTTAACTTCAAATTAGTTTTGAGTGAGTAAGCATATCATTTAGTCATTGTTACACACAGTAAAAGTAAACATTAAATTAAGCATCTTTTTTGTTTACATCATACCGAATTCGGTCATTATTTTATACATCACTTAATGTTTGAGTAGAAAAAAAAATCCTACATAGATAAATTGTTATAGCTTTTATTTTTTAATTTATTATTATTATGAGTTACAATGATGGCATCACTAGTAATGAAAGCAAAACAAGTATCCATTTATTTTGGTGAAAAACACAAGAACGAAATCATTTGCATCTTTAGCGATGCATAATCAAAGCAATTTTTTATTGAAAACCATGGTTGCTAAAAAGATATTAGTAAGCTTCGGGATGAGCAATGGCATATGCCTCAATTGCCTTGAAGGTGTTCTTATATGCTTCTTTGGAACCGTTAAGAATATCTTCACTTAGCTGGGCATCAGGTTTGCAGTTAAACACAGTTGTATGCTTGTATACCAATCCACCGTTAGGAGATGGTACGAACTTAACATGATGAGTCGCCGAGTCAATAATGCCTAACAACGCATCACCTTCAAAGATTGTGTAACTAACACTTAGATTGCTTGTGTGGATGGCATCGATTCTGTTCTTTGAATTTTTATAAGGAACACCTAGACATACATTACAAAACACATTATGGAACCATTTATGAAAAAAAAACCTACTAATATGTAATACAAGATCCTTCCGGTACATGAATAATATATACTAAACACATAATATAAGTTATTTACGAAATACTAACCATCCCCGAAGATGATACTCTTGATGCTTCCAACACCACCATCACCTTCGATAATGCTAATGGATTTGAATGTTTTAGGGTCGACCTTTGGCGCGAGGGTGTCGAAATCTGCATAGACTTTAAAAAGTTTTGTAGACGGAAGGGAGGAAGAGATCTCAACTTCAGTGGTGATGACAGCCATTATTAACTAATTTCCAAAAAATGAAAAGTAAGAAGATGAATGTATTTGTTGCGTTGAGATTTGAGTAAGGATAGAAGTATTTATAAGGCTGGATAAACAAACATCTAATGTTTTCTAGATGTTCATTGGCATTGCTGAATACTCTTTCCATGAGTTCTTCATTGTTGACCCCACCACTTCCACGTTTTACTTAAAATATGAACACGTTCTCATTTTATATAGGCTTTTAGCAAAACAATTTATTCTCCACAACTTTCTCATATCTCAATTACTTAAGTTATTCTTATTGACGTATGAAACCAAGACTATGAATGTCAGCCTTCAAATATATTATTCATGTATAACGAGGACCAGATTTCCTCATTTATACGAACGATTGATTTTGGAAAAGTATTTTGTCACAATTTTATCGAGCTTCTCTTCCATCTAATATATAATGTTTTAATATCCAACAAATATTATTATGAAAATATTTAACATGTAGATAGTCATGAGACGTTAAACAATATAAACAATCAATTGTGGTTTTATTAACTAGTCAACCTGAGAAAATTTAAAACTTACATCTAGAAACTAACCAAGATTAAGAAGTACTACAGCTTAATAAATATTAAAATTTTCATGTACTACTATATCATCTAATTTTTTGTTCTAGAACGCATCGTCTGTTTAATGTGTCCAGTTGAGAAGATTCCACCATCATCAACAATATAACATAAATATGTTAGAAAACAAAAATTTTGTTTCCCGACAAAATTGCATATACCGCGTATATGCAAATGATGTGATTAACCAGTCTACCAAGGACATTTCTCCCTCAAAAACCTAGTTTAAAAAAATCCCGTACAAAACAATTCGTCCAACTGTTATTGTAATAACAGAAGAAAAAAAAAACACAACCCTAAAAACTCCTAAAACCGGGAATTTCAGTAATCTCACAACGCAACACTATAAAAGTGACTTGTCTCTTTATTATGTTCTTCACCTTCAATAAATGAAGTCGAACACAACCCTAAAAACTCCCTAGAAGCTATGAAGTTTTTGAATTAAATGAAGTCGAAGCCAACTAACTTCTAGACACTACTTTGTCATTATCTATCAATTCTATCACTATAATTTAAATACTCAAGCAATTAAGTTTTAATTTGTTATCTACCAACCAAAAAAAATCCCGTAAGACCTCTTCATATCGTTGAAGAAACGTTTCGATCCCCTCTTACAACGCATCAATTTACGACAAACAAGTCCATCAATAATCCGTTGGAAAACCCATTTTACGGAACTTGTTTTGACAAAAAAAAACAAACAAACAAAAAAAACAAAAACAAAAAAAAAAACAAAAACAAAAACCAAAAAACAATATATCCTTGGGGAGAAACCCATTTAGGTTATTGGAGACATGAGAAAGTTATTTTGTCAACGGCCGTTTCTTATCGAATTTTCCGGTGTAAAACCTATTGAAACTAGTGTCGACGGTTCACCGACAAATCGCAATTTTTAGCACTTTTCGAGTGAAACTTGGTTCAAGGTAAGTGTCATGTCTCGAAGGGAATCTTAGCAAAATTGAATTTAGGTTACCGGTAGACATGGAAAAATGGGATGAAGAAATGTCACATTTTATGTTGAAAACATGGTGTTCCGAGGCTAATAGTGAAGAGGGAAGAGGAACCAACAAAACCTGGGTGAATTAAATGGTAAGGGTCTTAGTAGGAAGGAGGGCACAATATGGTTGAGCAAAATTATAAATGTCTTCTATGATTTGAGTACGATGAAATTGTTTCTTATCAACTTAATATGGATACATAACATAATGCATAAAGATACATGATGTCGTTTTCCTATTTATTTGAAACATTATGACTTAAGTGATTCTAAACTTCTTAATGTATTCAGCATTGCTATAACACGGTTACCTGTTAGTGAAAATTCTCAATTTTCAAAGCAACCTCACAAAAATTAAAGCCACCGAGTTACCATCTGCCTTTTTGCATCGTTTTAAAATTTATGGTATATTTTATTTTTTCTCTTTTAGAATTGCAACGTAGGAGGAGAAAACTTTAAGGTTTATTTTTTCTTTCATTAAAACTCATGTTAACTTCACATTAGTTTTGAGTGAGTAAGCATATCATTTAGTCATCACATTAGTTTTGAGTGAGTAAGCATATCATTTAGTCATTGTTACACAGTTAATTTAAACATTAAATTAAGAATCTTTTTTGTTTACATCATACCGAATTCGGTCATTATTTTATACATCACTTAATGTTTGAGTACAAAAAAAAAAATCCTACATAGATAAATTGTTATAGCTTTTAATTTTTAATTTATTATTATTATGAGTTACAATGATGGCATCACTAGTAATGAAAACAACCAAGTATCCATTTATTTTGGTGAAAAACACAAGAACGAAATCATTTGCATCTTTAGCGATGTATAATCAAAGCAATTTTTTATTGAAAACCATGGTTGCTAAAAAGATATTAGTAAGCTTCAGGATGAGCAATGGCATAGGCCTCAATTGCCTTGAAGGTGTTCTTATATGCTTCTTTGGAACCATTAAGAATATCTTCACTTAGCTGGGCATCAGGTTTGCAATTAAACACAGTTGTATGCTTGTATACCGATCCACCGTTAGGAGATGGTACGAACTTAACATGATGAGTCGCCGAGTCAATAATGCCTAACAACGCATCACCTTCAAAGATTGTGTAACTAACACTTAGATTTCTTGTGTCGATGGCATCGATTCTGTTCTTTGAATTTTTATAAGTAACTAGACATACATTACAAAACACATTATGGAACCATATATGAAAAAAAAACCCTACTAATATGTATTATAAGATCCTTCCGGTACATGAATAATATATACTAAACACATAATATAAGTTGATTACGAAATACTAACCATCCCCAAAGATTATTGTCACACCCCCAAACCAAGGATGGCGGAAACGTCCGGGGGTGGCGGACTTCATGTATAGTATCATAACAACGAGTATGGTAATAAATTATAATAAACAAAGTTTATATCCATTGCATACAAACATTTTGATAAACTATTGTAAGTATAGTTTATGTTCACTACTACTTGTAGTGGTGTGATTATGATGGCATGTGCGGAATTAGAAAGATTTAGTGAATCATCATGTAAAATCAAGAACACAAGGAGTAAATAATTCTGTGTAAGCTCATATTAGATCTAGAAAGGATATACAAATGGGTTTGTACAAAGTTTCTCTCTCTAGTCTAACACTCCAAATGGTTCCTTACATAATGGGAGTCACTCACTTCCTATTTATAGGAAAGACTCAACCCATTTACACATACAAGAGGGTAAGCCTAAAACACTACATCCAAGAGTGACTTTGCACCCTAACATTCTCCCCCTCAAAGTTAGGATTGGATGTCCGGCTTCAATCTCCAACGAGCTAGCGCGATCAAGACCAAACTCCCCCTCGAAGTAACACCAGTCTTCAAATCCGCAAATGAATATTCGACAAACCCGAGAAGCTTCAGATACCCATCATTCTCCCCCTTTTTATAATCAAAAAATGATTATAAAACCCACTAAGGGTGAGAAGCGCCCGAGGAATAGTCTTCACGATACTCCCCCTTGATGTGTACCAAAAATGAATCACCAAAAATCTTGCATGGAAAAACAATCACGAAAAAGCCACAAAAAAATTTCCAATTTATGAAAATTTTTGACTTTTTGGGTGAAAGTTGCAAGATTTTTCAAAAACCGGGTATAAATCGTCACTTTCTGAAACTTGCAGGGACCCGTTGCGCCAAAAACAGCCAAATATGCCAAACTCTAGCCCATTTGCGAAACTGGGCATAAAGCATAAATTCGTACAAACTGCAGGGGCCTGAAATGCATATTCTTCAATTTTCAGCAAAAACAATCCTTTTTCGAATTTGGGTACAAACAGCCAAACATTCGAAACCTTAGGGACTATTTTCGAAAGATCTGCCCTTTGTCTTCCAATCATACGAAGATTACGACCAAACATTCGAAGAGTTGAAAAACTGTCACTCTTTCGTAAGATCAGGGGTGATTTTCGAAAATTCTGCTTTTTCTTTACAAAACTAACGAACTGTTGCTCGCCTTGTAAAAGGTGTTAAACTATCAAAATTTCAGGGGCCATTTTCGTAACTTTTGGAACCCTTCGTTAAATCACAGCACACAAAATTTCAAAACACACGAAATCATCTCTACCCATTTTCTCTCTCCCCTTCGTATGAAACTGCATCTTTCGTTCGTTCAACAGCAACTCAACATCCAGTCTTCGTACGAAATCAAAGCCTTAGTTCTTTGAAAAAATCTTCGTTATTTCCAGTCCAACCATTCGATCATTCGTTCACAATCAAAATTTCGTTTGTCAAGTATCAATTTCACAGCCTTCATACATCAACACAGTTCTTCCCAAATCAAAATTATCGATCATCAAGAACAAACACATCTTTTCGTCACTGAACAACCCATCCTAGTTCGTTTCCAAACCAAAAAATCCAAATCCAAGTTCTTTTCGTTCCCAAACCATCGATGCGAACATCAATCGATTCCAACAAATTCGACTCCAAACAACCAAACCAACATCATACAAGTCGAAATTTGTTTCAATCCATGAGTTCGACTCCAAGCTAACAGATTTTGGCAATCGAGATTACCATCAAACCCACGATCGACTCCAATTCTCCCTTTCTTGTAGATACGAAAGAATACAAAATCGACTCCAAAATCAACATCATTTACAATCGATTCCAAAACATCATCTTTAGTCCTTCATTTTCAGTACCAACCATCGACTCCAATCAACTTACAGAGTTCGTCATCAAGAACATCGACACCTCCAGATTCGAAATTAAACTGAAATCAGATTAGATTTCGACTCTTTCAACCGCAAAACAACTTGTAACTATCGATTTGATCATACGATTCACCGATTCATCTCCTGAAATCCAATTTTGACTTTTCCACAGTTTGACTATAACCAAATCATTCACAGATGAGCCACATCAGTTGACTCAAACAACAACATAAATCGACTTTCAACCGTTCGAATCTACTGCTTGACATTCTAT